GACTGGGAGTTAGCAACAGACCAGATGGAGTCTGGAAGGTTGGGGAAATATAGAAAAAAAATCAGACAAAGTAAAGTAATCCACATAGCGGATGGAGAGGATGGTTAATTCTGGCAATGACGACCAACTTATAGCTTCTTCGATCATAAAAGTTGCAAAACCAGCTTTTCGTCTGAAACTTTGCTCAAATGAAGGAACTCATTCTTTCTCAGGCTAATTTCATACCTAGATTTCCTAGCATGCCTTAAATGCCACAAAAGTTCCCCCTCACTCGTCCTGTGAACAGTTATGAAGCCGCGGTTTGATGAGATCTCCTCGTCAGTTATTAGTCATTCATCAGTCAGACCATTTCTTCATTCTTGTTCATGTTCTTCCAGCAATTTTTGCCACAAGTACATTTCGTTTCAGGTGGTTAGTTGCCCTTGTTGGTTTATCTGAGTTGGTTGCCATGGCACGACAAGGACCTTTATTTTGGATTTGGGTTTTAAAGCAAATGGGGGTAAATTTCATAGACGGTATCAAATCTCTGCAAACATACTTCCTGTTGGTTTGCTAGGGCAGGGGTTCTAGTTACCAAAAGGAGTAGGTGTTACCATTGACATATTGAGTAATGAGTTCAGCCTCCACTTCCTTTGGTTTCTGTCAGTGATTTACACACAGCAGTATATGATTACTCAGTCTGGATAAGAATGTCAGCTGAGGGCCTGAATGCAGTCAGTCTGTCCTGTTTTGGTCAGTGAGCTGCTGCCAGTGAATCAGGAGCGTCAAGAACATATGGGTTCACTTAGAAACCTCCTCAGTCCTCCCTCCCCTCCTTCTTTTCTTTCCGCTCACCTCTCTCCGTCCCCTCCCTGTCTGACTTTCCGCATCAAAAATGTCTCCTTCCTCTCCTCTGCCTGTTACCTATTACAGACTGTGCTTCCAGGGGAAGTTTGGGGAGGTTCGGTGGTGTTATTGGCTGTATAATGTTGATTCATACCTGTGTGGTCAAAAAGGCGGGGGTAAGAGATCCAGAGGGCAGCGCCGGGCTGTTGAGGGCAATGGAGACGAGGTCACTTCCTGTCAGGAGAAGAGGAGAGGCCGAGATTTCCAAGCCTTTGGGTTTTCTGCCTTTCAAAGGGTTACTGTTGGCCAACCCCCTCCTCTCTGGTGTTCGTGTGCACCGTAGCTTCTCTCTTTCCCTCTGACCAGATGACAAGTTTAAAGGTTGAGCGCTACATTCGACATCTTCAGTATCTGCGCTGAGGCTCTGCCCCCTTGCCCGTACGTGGGCGGGGCTTTGGGATGGGGATGAAGAGCTGGCCAACAGAGGAGACAGCACGGAGGGATTTGGGCTGTCTGTCGTGGATGGAGGTGGCGTTGGAGGAAGGGACGAGTGGCCGCCGTTGGTTACGAAGCGGATGACGGAGGAGCTTTCCTTGCATCTGGGCTCCTGTTTGATTGGCCGCTGCTGATCCAGAGCCTGCTGCAGGGAGCTGATGGTGAAGGAGGAGTACAAGTTGGATTGGCGAAAATGGTTTCTGTCAGTCCGATCCTCCTCTTCAGCTTCAGGTTCTGACGTCGTCCCCCCAACCTCCTCGCTACTGCGACCCGACTCCACAACTGCAGGGTCCATCTTCAGGATCTCAGGGAACGAGACAAACTTATAGACAAACTTTTGACCAATCACCTTCTTGATGATGTTCTGCAAAATAGGGAAGAACAAAAATAAAACAGACGTCTCAACATCAACCTTTTTACATTTTACAGCAGTTTTCTGTGTGCATACTTTGTCGTAGTAGTAGCGCAGCGCCCTGCTCAGCTTGTCGTAGTTCATGTTGGTCTTGTTCTTTCGCAGCCCCCACAGTTTGGCCACCTCCTCAGACTTGAGCAGTTTGAACTCTCCGTCGTTAGACGTCCAGCAGATGAGATGTTTGTGGCTCTGGTCGAGCAGCAGCTGGAGCAGGAACTGCCAGAGGGTGATGGAGCTCTCCATGACGACACGCAGACCCGGGCCTCTGCAACTGGGAATTAGAAAAGTGCAGAGTTAGGGCCCCAAAGAGGCTCGGATGCTTAATCTCAATAGCTGGCTTACTTTAGCTATCTGCCTTCATGAAGTGAAGGCTAACTAAGCTATCTAAGTTAACTTAGGTAATTAAGCCAGCGACTTTAATGTCACTGGCAAGCGACATTTAGCTGGACATGACCAAAAATAACCATGCAGAAGCTAAAGCGTGCTAAGATTAGCAGTGCTCTTCGAGTTAGCAGCTCTAGAGACATTAAGCAAAATAGCAAAAATGTTAGTGCATGTCCTCTGGGTTTTGTTACCGAACAGCTTATGTTTGCCACATGTCACTACACACAGACATGGTGGCAAGAGGTTTTGCTACTTCCTTCCACAGGTTGTAAACAGCTGGTATGACCATTTTCTACTAATTGACCCCTGTTGGATTGAAACTACAGATACCAGGCCTTGTAAATATCATTCTGACTCTCCTGAACTTCTTTTAAAAAATTTTATGACAATCACACACTTGATTTTATTGGTTCCCCCCTCCCTCCATGTTCCCATCCATTTCTGATCGACTTCCACGGATAAATGACTCAGTCCCACAGCATGATGCTGCCACCACCACAGGGGACGAGGAGGAGGCTGAATACATAAGCATGCCCCATTTTCAATATTGCAACGCAAAGTTCAACTGAAATATATCAAAGGTTCTGATTGAACAATGTGAAAGAGTCTAAAAGATTATTAACATTTTGCACGGCACTGAGTGGAACAACAAGTTGTAGTTATTGTTGCTCACAGTGTGTGGCAGGTTTATCCTCCTTCAGTACAGTTTCATATTGACTGTGAGAGTCAGTGAGAAGGGTCCGTACGTCACCTGGCTTTCAGATGTTTCCATGGTGATAAAACAGGATGTGGTTAGTGACCCTTCTGCCAAGACAAGCGTGGCCCTAACCGACGTGTTTACCTGGAAACCGCTGACTGCCTGTGTGTGTGTGTGTGTGTGTGTGTGTGTGTGTGTGTGTGTGTGTGTGTGTGTGCGCGCGCATGCGTGTGTCTGTTCCTGTGCTCGCTCTGAGAACTGCAGCTCCGCCTGCCTTCACAATACCAACATATTGTGCAGCAGCGGTGGAAATATGAGAAATGACTGTTTGTGAATCTGTTTGTCTTTGTGACAGGAAATCAAGCAGCGGGACAGAAAAAAAAAAAAAAACGAGGGGAAAGTACAAAACAATGGACCCACCAGCCTCGCAAGCACACAACTGACCGAGTTCTTGCTTCCTATTTCCTGTATGAATGTGTGCTGCTGTGTGTTGGCGTGTGCGCGTGTGCGTGAGGGGACGGAGGAACCGCGGTGATGTCTCACTGTCCACAGGAGGACTTCCTGTCATTCAGCTTCAGGGGCGTCATTCCCAGTGAGAGGCTGTCCAGGACTTCCTGTCGGTGGGAAGTACCGGGGAACAAACGCACACATTCGCTGTTTTGTTTTTAGAGATCAGTTCTTACAACACACAGCAGAAGGTTTTATTAAGAACACACACACACACACACACACCCACACACCCCCACACACACACACACACACACACACACACACACACACACACACACACACACACACACACGCACACACATGCACATGCATGCACGCTTGTACACATTTTGGGAAAACTTTCATAACTGGAATGTTACCAGTTGAACTTTTCCAAGCCTTCCAAGAACCACATTGTATTTAGCGTCAGCTGAAAAAAAACAAAAACGTCCTGACAGCATGATACTGCCACCACCGTACTCCATGATGATGAATTATTCTGGTTGATGTTTCCATGTTGCCCAGAAATGTAACCGTCTGACCAAACCACCTGCTTTTTTCATCTTTTCAATCACGAGACAACTGGTTGCACCACTTTATATCTTTTGCTTTTGTCTTAGGAGTACCAGAGTAAAAGAGATTGAATAGAAATGCACACCACACTTTTCAGATTTCATTGTACTTCTGCTAAAACAACCACTGGAATCAAACATTTTTGATGATTAGCAAAATGTTTGATCTGCTAAAGCAAATGTTTTAAGATTTGATTTCAAAATAAAAGCCCACCGCCTGAGCCCGTTTCCTCTCTGTGTTTCTGTTCAGGTCAGCAGGAAGAACCCAAACCATGACTCTCCTTCCATTTCCTCCGCTCTGATTTTCTTTTTATTATTATTATTTTTTTAAATATGTCTGAGTGAGGGAGGAGTAAAAGGGGCTCTGCTGGAACTCAAACGTCTCTTTGTTTTGCGGCAGTCGGTGACTCATTTTCAAGATGTTGTCTGCTGCCAGCTTCTATCCGGAAGCGCATGGCAATTAGTCTGCGAGGTCCAGACAAACCAGAAAGTCAACTGGCAGGTTTTAAAGGGGCCACGGCTCATTTTTACCTCCCTTCCCTCACCAATTGTCACACAGAACTCATTCTAGATCCCCCCACCTCCCTTCAAATCTGTGATAGTGTCACGCATAAGAACGCCGTTTGGTTTTACTCATTTTTACGCACGGCTTTCACACATTACGCACGGCTTTTTTTTTCTTTTCTTTTTTTTTTGCGTTTTTCAGGTTGTCGGTGTGGATTCGCGCTCAGAAACAATTTTTGGAACGGATCACAAGTCGTTTCTTCTTCAGCTCACCTCGATGCTTCCTTTAAGTAACTTTGAGAAAGTTGGAGACGGAAGGAAAGTTGGCACCTACCCAGCTGTGAACGGCCGCGGCTCCTCGCTCCCTCTCTCTGTCTTTCTCTCTCTCTCTCTGTGCGTCTGTCCGCGCGTGTCGTGGGAGTTCGGCTCTTAAAGCAGAGCCTGTGTGTTGTGTCGGGGCTCCATGCTGCTGCTGCTGCTGCTGCTGCTGCCGCCCCGCTGTCTGAAAGCGGATCCGCAGCTTTTCTCTCTCCTGCCTCAGAGCAGGAAGTCGGGACGCGCAGACGGAGAACGAGCGCACTTCCTCTGGAGCAGTATTCCCGTCTGTGTAAACACACACACACACACACACACACACCCACACACACGCAAAAACCTCTATTTCCTATAAACACGCCCCTTAAACCCCTCTCTCTCTCTCTCTCTCTCTGTCTCTCTTTTTCGCACACACACCTACACATGCATGCGCACGGACGCTCGCGCAAATCACACAACTAGATGTTGTACACACTGATAGTGTAATTCTACTACAGGCACACACACACGCACACTGAGAGAGCTTAGAGCCAAGTGACAAATGACGTCACCCTCTTCCTGCTCACCAGGAGGGGTTCCTGTTTCTAAACACACACACACGCACGCGCGCGCGCTCGACCTAGGTCAGCCGACCCACCGGAAATGTGAAAAACAGCCCAGCGTTTGAGTTCCTTTTATTAAAATGTACCGTTTTGCCAGTCAGTTGACATTAAAAACTCGATTTAGTGTAAAAGTCGTTCTAACTCTTGAAGTGTCTCACATTTTGTCCACTTTTATCAGCTCATTAGGATTTTTTTTTTTTTCCCCAGCGCATCCCCACAGCATGCTGCTGCCACTGCCACGGGACTGACTGAACACACCTGATGTCACACTTTTCAGATTTCGTGTTTTGAAATCATTTTTGAAACACAAAATCATGCAGAGAAACCACAGCGCCTCCCAGCAGCAGTCTCTCAGCAGCAGTCTCTCAGCAGCAGTCTCTCAGCAGCAGTCTCTCAGCAGCAGTCTCTCAGCCTCAGTCTCTCAGCAGCAGTCTCTCAGCCTCAGTCTCTCAGCAGCAGTCTCTCAGCCTCAGTCTCTCAGCAGCAGTCTCTCAGCCAGTCGGTGTGTTTCTGCAGTGACTTGAATGTTCCACATGTTTTCCAATGAGCCACCAGCTTAAATGTGATTTACAAAACCCACCGGCTTTGTACATTCACTTTTTGAAACCATATCTCAGAGCTCAGTCAGCATCTGTCAATGGCAAATTTCGTGTCTGGGCAAAACATTCTTATTTGCATTTAGGTCTGAACTTCGATTGGACCATTCTAATGAATGAATAGCTATATGTTGATCTCGGAACCATTTTTTAGTTTTGGAGTGTGTCGGGTTGCCCCGGCTTCAGTTTCATGTCTGCTTCCTACACAACAAGGCTTGTTTTGGCTTTTTTTCTTGACTAGAAACAAAGGAGGACATTATTCAGAGTAGATGTTTAGGTTAAATGTGATGGAAGAGATGATTGAATGGATCAGTGGATTTTAAGGTTTAGGAAAATGAAATAATTTTGAATAATATATGTTAAAATTTGCTTATGAATAGCATTTTATCACTTGCTTTTCTTTTAGTCGGACAGCACCACTTCATCAGTCTGCTGGTATCTGTTTTATTTTGGGATTAGGGTTCTAAGCTTCTTAAAGGTGTAAAATATACTGTTGTGTACTTTATGGAGGATTGCATTGAAATACAAATGAAAAGCATTTGCTGGACTTGAATAATACATTTTTGCATTGAACTATTACACTGAATTCTGAACAAATGTAAACTTTTAAAGAATTTTAATTATTAATGCATGATGAAACAATTACAGCAAATATTAAATTATGCTCAGAGGATAAACACAGAGGAAGTAATTAGTGCGGTGTATTAGGTGACAGTTCATATTTTAGTAATAATAATTCTTGGTTAGTTTGCTAAATATCTTCGGTCGTTGGTATTGATGAATCTCCTTTGTTCTTTTCTTTACTTTTCTTTTCTTTCTTTCTTTTTTTTGATACAACCAATACTTAACAGAGTGAGAGGTCTTTAGTTTTTCCCTCTCTCCGGTTGAGTTTCCTGTTTCCTCTTTGGCCCCGCCTCCCCCTTTGAAGAGTCAACAGCGCCAAAACTTTCGGGGTCCTTCCTGGGAGGAAAATGAGCCGCAGTGTCGCTGGGCCGCAGTGGAAGAAAGTTCACTCCGTCACTGGAGTCATTCCCCGGTCCAGGCATGGACACCGGGCGGCAGCAATCCGCGAGCTCATCATTGTATTCGGTGGCGGGAACGAAGGGATAGCGGAGGACCTCCATGTCTTTAACACGAGTAAGCTAACGTTAGCTGCTAATGTTTTTAGCTTGTAGCGGGGGAAAGTGGCCCAGCGCTTGACAAGAAGTTTGTTTACTGACATAAAACTCTGCCACATTCTGCCACTTGACATGGTTTTATTTTGTTCAAAGGCAATTTGTTAAATTGGGTTCAGTGATATTACTTTAAGTGTCTAAACTCAGCGGTCTGTCGCATGGATTAGTAATGGACGTTAATGTTACATTTTCCATTCCTGAAGGATATTTGAACAGCTTTTGTTATTCCAGGGTGAAATAAGAACTCAAAGTACCTTTAGTTCGAATCATTTAAGGTTAGACTTTAGGTCCTAAGAAATAGATGGTGATGGCAGCATCATGCTGGACTCCCAAAGTTAGTTTAAGAACAAAGAAATCAGATGATCCTGTCCTGTTCAAAATATCTGGACTATGCTGAAACACTGGCTTTAAAGGAGCCCCACGTCTTCTCACAAAAGTTAATTCTGCAACTTTACTGCCAGAAAATCGCTGATGATGGTAAAAAACCATCAAGTCAAGTGGGAACTCCAAGTCAAAGCTGTGGAACTATGTCTTAAAGCAGCAGCTGGTTTGATTTCTTTGTTGCTGTTTCAGTCTCCAAACAATGGTTCCTCCCTGCTGTGAGGGGGGACATCCCACCCGGGTGTGCAGCTCATGGCTTTGTCTGCGAAGGCACCCGGATCCTGGTGTTCGGTGGCATGGTTGAGTATGGAAAGTACACCAACAGCCTCTATGAGCTCCAGGTAAGTGAGATGTGGAGTTGAGCGCTGCTGTGGCTAGGTAACGGAACCTTCCAGAGCTGCTTTGTGTTGTCCTCCTCAGGCCAGCCGGTGGCTCTGGAAGAAGCTGAAGCCCAGAGCGCCCAGGAACGGATCCCTGCCCTGCCCTCGGATCGGACACAGCTTCACCCTGGCGGGGGGGAAGTGTTACCTATTCGGGGGCCTGGCCAATGACAGCGAGGACCCCAACGGGAATGTACCGAGGTAACAAAACATCTTTCTGGGCTGCTTGGTTGTCTCTTATATTGAAGCTGAGTTTTCAGGCAGCAGATTTTAGATGCTAACCATATTTTTTGGCACCCCTGCTGCTAATCTTAAGAAGTTGAAGCAAAAAGAGAGAAGAATCTTTGCTCTGCCTAGTCCTGGTCCTGGTATTCTGTGTTGTATGTTTTAATTAGTGGTCAGATTAAATTGTCTGGTCTGTAATTGTCCTCGGAGATTCTGCTGTTGAGCTCCATCTGCATCTCATCCGACAGAGCGGCAGTTAGTTTAGCAGACTCCATGTTTCTGCTAGTGCTGGTGGGACAGAAAAGGTTGCTGTGGCGATTGCTTTAACGTCACTTTATTGGTTTCTGGTGTGATGGATTGAGCTGTGGTTGTTTTCAGGTACCTGGGGGACTTCTACGAGCTGGAGCTGCAGCCGCTGACGGGAGCGAGAGGCTGGAACGTTCCCGACACCAAGGGCGGCGGGCCGTCGGCGCGAGAGTCGCACACCTGCGTGGCGTACGCCAGCCTCGGCTCGCCCAAGCTCTACGTGTTTGGGGGCATGCAGGGATGCAGACTCAATGACCTCTGGCAGCTTGACCTCAGTAGGACGTCCGGTTGTTCATGAGACCGTCAGCGGCTCATGTCCACAAAACTGATGTGTTCTTCTTCTCTGTCTCAGGTTCCATGGTTTGGTCCACGCCTGAAACCAGCGGCTCCAACCCTCTTCCCAGAAGCCTCCACTCTGCCAACGTCGTTGGAAACAGGTGCTGCAGGCTGGGCCGTGAGACGCAGGCGAAACCGAGTGCTTCCACCTGTAAACACTCCCTTTTATTGATCTGTGTGCAGGATGTTTGTTTTTGGAGGCTGGACTCTTGCTCCAGAGTCGGACAAACGGATCACCACGGCAACAGAGTGGATTTGTTCCAACTCGCTGGATTCTCTGAACCTGGGTGAGTCATTTGTTCTCTAGATCTGTCTTTCTCCAACTGTGGTCCGAATGCTACTGCACAGAAGCAACCATCTGACTTGCAGAACTTTTTATTGTTTTTAGAACAATATTATGATTCATAGCATGGCACCGACATGCAGGTTTATGTCTGGCCGGCCTGAGGCAGCTCTGAATGCGATAGGACGGTGAGGAGCTAGCGAACGGCGTTGCGCCCAACGTCCACTATCTGCGTTTGTAGCACCTAAAGTAATTATTGATGTCAGACTGAAAGAAAACGTTATGTAATGTCAAATTTTCATTTATTTTTTTCTTCTGAATTACAAAAACATCCACATGGTTTCCATGTGTTTGACATCATTGGAAAGCTCAGAATCCACACTTCCACAATCTGTAAATAACTCGAATAGACTTGTTCATAGCATTTTGTTTTTTTTGTTATAGCAAGTCACATTTACAAAACAGAACATTTACACAACAGAGATTAATATTTTAATTTCAGGTTGGACATAGTAAGATGATGATGTTGTGGTTAGTCAGGTGGTACATGAGTGTTGGTTAAATGCTTTGAATCGTCCTCAGCCTGTAAAGGTTTGTGAAACACTGATCTACAGGTGAAGCATCCCAGCCGGAGGTTGGCACAGTAACCATTGCCTGTGTTTTTTCCGTTCTAAGACTCGATGTGCTGGGAGTGCGTCGGCCCGGAGCAGCAGGACGACATCCAGTCAGAGCTGCAGGACCAGAACCAGAACCAGGGCCCGCAGGCGGATGACCCGTCCGCCTGCTGGCCCCGAGCCAGAGCCGGCCACTGCTCGGCCGCCGTCGGCTCCAGGCTGTACATCTGGAGCGGCCGCGACGGCTACCGCAAGAGCTGGAACTACCAGGTGTGCTGCAAGGACCTCTGGTACCTGGAGACAGGTGAGGACGGAGGGGAGACGCAACTCGGCCTTCGGTAAGGAAGAGTGACATCCCTGTCGTCTGCTGCCAGATCGTCCGACTGCGCCAGAGGGAGTGATGCTCATCAAGTCCACGGTCAACGTGCTTCACGTGGCGTGGCGCCCCCTGGCTGCAGCAGACTTCTACATCCTGCAGATCCAGCCAGTGGTCCGCTGTCCAAGCACCAAACCAGTTCAGCTGACTGGAACAGAAGGACAAACTGGGACAAGTCAATGTCCTGCAGGTGAGAAGACTCACAAGACGGTGTGTGATGCCACGTGTTTCGGCATCAATACATTTTAAATGCAAAGATATTTAAAGTTGATACATCATACTGCTTTTATCTTTTGATGTTTTTATTATTTTTCTTTTGTTCAAACCTGGGAAGAAATTGAAATAAAGGTTATAGGAGACTACAAATGTTGTAAACCAAGACAATAGAACAACAACAATTTTGTCAACATTTTTTTCTAAATAAATGCAAATGATCATTTGAGAGCAAAATGTGTTTTAAGGTAGAGTTGAGAAACTATCACACAAAAACAAAATATCATTTCAAGAAGGAATCTGAAACAAAGTATTTTTTTTATCATGCTAGTATGGATCCAATATTGATACCGACTTGGTATTAATATTATTGATATTTGGACTGATCTGTCCTCCATGTGTTATACTGGATGTTTGTTCCCGTTAAAGTGACTGGTTTCTCTCCACTGTCGCCCGGTGATTGCTCAGCTGCTCCAGTGTTTACTAGCAGGAACCTTAAAAATGGACTGAACTGAAACTGTTTGTCATTGTGATGCTGTTTTATTATCAAAGCTGATTACGTTCCTGTATGATCTATTATTTTTTTAGGTCCTCAGTCCCTTCAGAATCCGAACAAGGACCGGTGCGGTCCAGAACAGAATGCATCGGCCCAGGTAGGTGTGGCTTATCAGCATGAAGCCATACTGAACTCTCTTCACTTTCACTGAGGTGCAAATTATAATTCCAGGACTCATCAGCTCCATCAGGTGAAACCAAAGCGGAGGAGCAGAGTGCTGGGAGAGAGTCTGAGTCCAAACACTGCGGTCGGTTTCTCGTCCAACAGGAATCGAGTCAGTGAGGATCACCTGCCTTCCCTCTGCTTCAGCTTTATGTGTTTTTATGCTGTAGGAGGAGCAGCGATGGAGGAGAGCAGCTCAGCTCAGCAGCAGCAGTCAGGTAGGGTGGAGGCTCGCAGAGAAACCAGATCCTGGAAATATCCAGACTAAACATCTTCTCTTTCTGCTCCCAGACAAACAAACCGCTCCAGGTAACCAGACGGGGGATCCGTACGCCAACACAGATCAGGTCAGGTCACATGCTAAATACTGTGAATTGATTGCAGTTTTCTGGCCGATCGACGATCTTTAAAAAGATTTCCGGTTTTGGTTGATTTTTTTTTCCCTCCTGAAAAATTCCTAAAAATAGTGACAAAGTTGCTAAATTGTCAAAATTTTCCAAAATGAAAGAGGTCTGGGCTGATTTATCTGCCCCGGCCCTATATTTTATGTTCACAAACTGTATCATAGTCTCAAACAAAATGAGTGCAACAGTCAAAGCAAAATAAAAATATGCTCTCTGACAGAGCCCCCTGGAGGCTTCTAGAGGTTCCTGGTCTTTATTAACATTGTTTGAAAAAAGAAAACAGAACATGTACAGGAAAGAGAAGTGACCCAAATACTGTACCCTGTGGTGCTCCTCTCGTGAGTCTTATTTGAATCAGAATCCCATCTATCAACACAAACAAGAAATCTGACCTTGTTTTCGCTTTGGTTTTGGTAAAAGCTTAAACTGTGTGAAGACTTTCATCGAGGCGCTGCGGCTTGTTCATCTCGGATGTGTTGTGCTGCCTTCAGGCTAAGGAGACGCAAGATGGCTGCCTGTGGTTCGACGTTGGCGTGTTTAAGACGCTCTACTGCGAGGTCAGCCACTACTTCCTGCCAGCCGAAGACCAGCAGGTGGGACTCGTGAATGGCGGCGAGCTAACAGAGTGTTAGCGTGGCGTTGACCGAGCTGTGTTCCTGTCAGGCTTTCCTCCAGAGGAAGCTGCCCAGCCCTCAGGACTACCAGGGCCGGGAGAAACAGCCGCTGATCCCGGGTCAGATGTACCGCTTCAGGGTGGCTGGAATCAACTGCTTCTCTCAGGGAGACTTCAGCCCCGCCAGCGAATTCAAGACCTGCCAGCCCGGCTTCCCCGGAGCGCCCGCCGCCGTCAAGATCTCCAAGGTAACGCAGCAGCATCTCCTCTCAGTAGCTACGCTTCCATTGACCGCATATTTGCACAATTTGGCTTTTCAAAACTCAATTTGCTTAATGGAAACATGGCAATTTTGAAACAGCTCTCATTTTTTTGACAAAAGTTTTGGTGCTTCCATGAAAAGTTTGGTTTGTTTAGCAAAATTGCATTTGGAACACTTTTTATTTTATTTATTTATTTATTTTTTGTGTGTCACATGGTTAACAACCGGATGTTGCTACTGCTGCAAACCATGAAGAAGATGACAGGAAGTAGTTTTTTAATGACTTGTCATGTAAAGAAACTTACAAGTGTGTGATTTTAATTGCGTTTCTTATTTATTTAATGACGTTAGCAGAATATTGACAAAGTTTTGTGCACATTTGAAATGGAAACGCAGATAGTGGGAGGAAAGAGTTAGCTGGTGGGTTCTGGTAGTCATAAAGACACAGACAGCGATGAACACATCGCTGTCTGTGTTCAGGCCAGTGATGCGGTCCAGATCACCTGGGAGGCCCCGACGTCTCCGTCGGGTCGGATTCTGGAGTACTCCATGTACCTGGCGGTAAGGAAGAACCGGTCCGGCTCGGAGCGCCCGGGGCAAATGGCCTTCATCCGGATCTACCGCGGCACCAAGACCAGCTGCTCGGTCAGCTCCTCCCACCTGGAGAACGCCCACATCGACAGCTCGGGTTCCTGCCGGCCCGCCGTCGTCTTCCGCATCGCTGCCAAGAACGAGCAGGGCTACGGACCGGCCACGCAGATCCGCTGGATCCAAGGTAGAACTGTTTCCTGCTGCACATCTCCGACTTCCTGTTCCATCTCCACCTGAAGACCTCTGATCTCTGGGTTATAACAGATCCTATCAAACTGCGAGGCTCTGCTGCCAAACCAGACGGCAGCACTGAGGCTGACCCTGACGCAGCTGACAGGTAAAGTCCGGTACAGACTGCTGTTAGATTATCAGGATCGGAAAAGAAAATCTAGTTTGGACAAAATGTGTTTTCAGATTGTTCCCTATTCAAGTTTACCTATCTACCTTTTTCCCTTCCTTCCTTTAAACTCATGGAATCATGTTGTTTCCTCACCTTGCAGCTCCAGCTGAGGCGGTTCTGGACCAGCTACAGGAAGGAAAAATCCCCTCAGGAAGTCGAACTGGACATTTCTAAAACATCTTTCCTAATTTATTTTTCTCTGATGAAACTGTAAATAGATTCACAGGCCAATTTTACCTCCAACTGTTTTATTTAGCAACAGTTTTATGAAATCTCTAACATGAAGACATTGTCAGGTGAGAAACATTCAGTAATTGTTTTTATAGACCTGGATGATGATTTCATCATCATTAATAATAAATAATTATATTTAGATATGACTGAAACACCAGGAGGAAACACTATGCTAATGAAATCTGTGTTCAGCAGAGGCTGGGTTCTGATTCACTTTGTTTTTTTCTCCTTTTAAACTGCATGGTACTTCACATGTGTTCTGTTTTTAGTTTTAGACATCTAATGAAAGAAAACGTCTTCCATTTTGTCACAAAATCAACAAAAATAAAGTTCCAGCAAATCATAAAAAGGCTGGTATTTTAAAGCATAGCCGGTCCAAGATGGTAGGAGGCCTCGGGAGAACTTCAGTTTCTGCCCCCATTCTAGTTTGTATTATTTATTAAATTAGGTTATTTTTCTTCCTTATTCATTCGATGTGGCGGTTATGTTCACTGGTAATGTTGGGAAACGGAAGCAAATTTTTTGCCTGATTAAGCTGGTAGCAGGACTATCAAACAATGCTACGTCTGTATTATTTGAACTTTTATTTTTAGTTCTCTGAAGCGCTTTTTTTTTATTTTGTAAGTCAAATTTACAATAAAAATGATTCATAATTTGAAGCTTAAGTGAGAGGATTCTTAACAGCAGTGCACATGGTTAGGCTGGCTCTGCCTCCATCTATCACCCCAGGCAGTGCCAGTGATATGTGCATAAAGGGTGTGTGTGCCGGGTGTATTGGATAAAGGGGAAGCTCTTGCCGTTGGTGGCTGTTTATTTCAAAGAGAACCTCAGACAAACAGGAACTGATGCGAATGGCACGGGGTCTCAGCTTCCTGTCAGGACGCCTGAAATACAAGCTCTTCTACTGTCTGCGGTCGACTTCACTGATGCTGTTTTACTGATCTTCAGGGGAAAAACAAAGTCCTGATTATATTGCAAATTATATACAAATTGTATAACAGTTTAATACGAAACAGTTTTTTTTTCCCAGCATTTTTCATTACGAAATATTTGAAATTATGACTTTGTCTTCCTATTGTAGGAGTCCTCCACTTGGTTACCAGTTTTCTGTACTGTATCTCTAGCTTAGCTGGAGTTACTTTCTTCCATTTTTTTTATCTGCAAATGTTTTTATGCTCTGAAAAATATAATTTCTGTGAAAGTAAATACTTCAATTTGACTCCAGAGGCCAAACTGGAATCAGCGTTTTTAATATCTGTGTTCCCCAGAACTGCATGTACTTTAGTCAATTCTGGACAAACTGCAGATAAAACTAAACGTATTCTTATTCAAGATAAATAAAGTTGATAATATCCCACAACATGAAGGTGCATCCGTTTCCTGATCATTAAGAGGCTGTTTTGGGACGGTGGTGTTAGTTGTGTGTTATTCTGTCTTTGTGGCGACAAGCAAATGCATTCACACCCTTATTTGTCCTACACTCTCTCAAACTGTTTGCAGAAGCAGCCATGTTTTACACTTTAGACCAGAAGCAAAGATGGAGGAGTTCCATGTGTTCACATAGGAAAAACAGCTTTGCTCCCCCCCTCACGTTCTAAAAGGTATGCTGGACTGAGGCTTAAATAAACCAACCAACTGTTTAGGTCATCCTGGCCAGGAGAGGGCCTCCACGAGCCCTTATAGTCACATGAGACTGTTGGCAAATGCATACTTTTGTGTAGGTGTTGCACATTTTGTATTTTATCACCTGTAGGATTGTTTCTGTGGCTGTCAAATTTCTCCCAGTTTTTGTACATGAGGAGAGTTGAAGTCACAGTTAAGACTCGCAAAGTTTAAGTTTGCCAAGCAGCCAGAAGCTCAAGTTTTATTATTCAGTTTAATTCAATTCAATGTGTCCTTAATTCCAAAGTAAATGTTGACAATGGGATTTCTTATTTTCTCACTTTCTCCTGAAGGTATCATAGATACTCAACAGGAAGTATCTCCTGTTGAGTAAAGGGCCTGTATACAGCAACAGAAAAAGAAACGGATAAGTTTCCCATGATTCCGTAGTTTGTAGTTTAGAGCAGCTTGCCAACTAGGCTACCTAGCGAGCTACAAAATAGTGGTGTCTCTGTACAAGAGGTAAGTTATCTTGTTCTGCTGACAGTCTGAACATATCAAAGAATAAGTGGCATTTACAATATTGTTTATGCAACTGTTTTTATATTCTTCTAACACCCAAATCCAGTCATTTTTGCAAATCACGTTAGCATAGTTAGCTTGTCTTCGAAGCTTGCCTTCTCTACAGGCAACAGTTCAGTTCGCTGCCTCAACATGTTCTAGTTATGAACGCTGTGTTTGATATAGCATTCGGAATGAATTGATTTTTCAGATTCGCTGCATGTACTTGTTAAAAGAAATGAGCAAAGTTGCTGAGTGTCCGATAATGCACACAGCGCAGAAGCTAGTTAGCGCGTCATGCTTCGGGGCGCGACATTCAAACACAACAGAGGACAACAACGTTCACTGCCAGTGCGGCCATTACCCTCAATGTGTGGCTTTTATCCCCGTTACAATTATTAGGAATTAAAGACGTGCAGTTGTATTTCTCTCATTAAGGACTCTTATTGCGAGCCTCGTTGATTCCAGCTCTGATATTCCACATTAATCAAGTGTCTGTGACCAGCTTCACAAGGAGTCGCTGTGATTATAATCAGACTCTTGTGTCCAGAATAGCGGCCGCTGCCGTGGAAACGAGCTAACTAATCACTTGAGACCGACTCCGAGCTGAGAGCCGATTGGAACAAGAGGCTTTAGGGACTCGAAGCCGCCATGGTTACTGACAACAAGACGGGAAGCCGGAGCCAGTTCGTTGACTCTCTGAGGAACTACAACCTCTGAGTTGTGCTGCTTCACTCCCAGGTTGTTTCCTGTCGGGTTCTGCGCCTGCAGCAGGTGAGATGGCCTCGCCCTCTCTGGTCGCCAGCCTCGCACCGGGGATGGGGAAGTCTGCGGCCGTGCTGGGTCTGTCCGCCGGGCTGGGGGGAGCCGAGCTGGAGCTGCAGAAGATGCTCATCGACGAGAGGATCAAGAGTGAAAACCACCGGACCAACTACCAGACCCTGAAGGCCGAGCACACCAGGTACCGAGGAGGGGAAGGACAATGCAACTGAGGCTTTCACCACTGCTGAGAGAATGATAGAAATGTGGGATTGAAACGATCCCAAACTAATTTAGTAATTGAATGATCATTAGCTGGAGTATATGGAGTCCAAAAAGAGCACTTACTGAAAGATCAACACACTGAGAGCAGCAATTAAGACCAAAATGTACAAAAATGTTTACAAAACTTCTCTATCTGTAAATGTTCTTCACTTGAAGTCTTAGTTTCAGATTTTGTAAAGATAATCTCATATTAAGCATCTTTTGCTATCCAGTTTTTAATTGGTTCATTAAAAAATATCAGTGACCAAGCATTCACTAAATCAACATGTTGCATATTAGGTCATATAATATTTCTATTGAGAAAGAAACTGAATTATTGATTTGTTTTTCTTTTTGAATTTCTAGTGTTGCATCAAACAATTTTTTTTCTATCACATTAATCGTTTGGAATAATCAATAGAATAATTGATTACTAAAATAATTAAATAGTTCAGAGTTTTTGTGCATCAATCAGACAGAACCTGTCGGTCATCCTCTGTTCCATTCTCTCTATTCCTTTCCTGTAAAAATATAAAAATCCAAATAAAATAATTTTAAAAAATGGAATAGAGTTTAGAATGAAGCAGACACGTTTGGATCTAATAATTAGAGCTGAAGCTGCGTCTCTTCAGTCAGAACCAACCGCGAGAAAAAAAAACCGTTCAGATCTCCAGCGGGTCGGCTGTCGCATTTCTGCGTCTGTCTCCGTGTTCAGCCTGCAGACGCAGTTCACTCAGGCGCAGGGCGAGGTGAGGCGCCTGCTGAGCGAGAAACAGAGCGAGCAGGAGAGGCTGCAGCTGCTGCTGGCTGAGCTGCGGGCGGAGCTGCTGGACAAGACCAGGGAGCTGGAGGATCTGCGCCTGCAGGTACAAGAGGAAGAAGATGTGTGTTTCATGCAGAGGTGATTTTGAAACAAACTGCCATCGTTTTGTCGGGTTTCCGGTGAGCAGGTGATGACCCCGCAGCGGCTGGAGCTCCTCAGAGCTCAGGTGCAGCAGGAGATGGAGGCGCCGGTGAGGGAGAGGTTCAACAAGCTGGAGGAGGTGAAGCAGACGCCAGACAGCAGCCAATCGTCTGCCTGCCGTCGGCCTGATGGCGCCTCTCCCTCTGCTCTGTGTGGTCGCTCCGCAGGAGACGGAGAAGTATCGGTCCGAGTACAACAAGCTGCGCTACGACTTCACCGTCGTCAAGTCCCAGCTGGAGCACCAGAGGGAGGAGCACAGCCGCATGCTGGAGGAGAGGAGGATCCTCCATGAGGCCGAGGTGGGAGTTCACCGCCCGGCCGCCCGGCTGGAGCAGCTTCAGCTTTTCTGTCGTCGTTCGATTTCTTTCTGCCTTTTTGTCTAATTCAGTTAGTTTGAATTAGCTTGTAGAGTGTTTGCTGGTTTTTGTTAGTGAAATATTGTTTAGTCTCAATTAGGGGCCGTTATTCTGATTATGTTCACATTGACTGGGTCATAAATGCTCAACATAAAATACCATTTCCAAAAGCATAACTTCATCTCTTCAGTTATTGTTGAGCAACCAGCTGACTGGATTTTTCTCCACCATTTTTACAGACTAACATGGTGGAGAGCTGTAATTTACCAACAGCAGATGTGAGATGATCATGTGGGGAAAAAAAATCAATTTCAATTCAGTTTGAATTTCCAGTTAGTTACAGTTTTTCTCATTAATTACAGTTTTATTTATTTCAGTTGGCGAAAATGTTTTCTCAGTTTCAGTTTTTGTAATTTTGTTAGTTAACTATATTAACCCGGGCTCGGTCCGAGGTGGATGGTGGTACCGATGATCCGCTGACCGTCTGGGTTCCTGCTGTCAGGTGACCCGGCTGGAGAAGGAACGGGAGGAGCTGTTGGCCCAGTATCAGGATTCAGAGGCCCAGTGTGACGGGAAGCGGGTGGAGGCCCTGCTCAGGGAGAAGGCCCAGCTCCACCAGAGGCTCAAAGGCCTGGAGGCGGAGGTGGCCGAGCTCAGAGCCCAGAGGGACTCCTCTGGCCAGCAGGCTGAGAGCGTCCAGCGCATCCAGATCAGACAGCTGACGGAGCTGCAGTCTGCAGTCAAGTCACAAGAGGTGGAGCTGCTTTTGTCGCCCTGCCCGGTTCGGTGGGATCGGATGTAACTTCATGGACGATGCTTCTGGCAGGTGGAACGTCAGTCGCTGCGGCAACAGCTGGACAGGATGGAGAGCGAGCTCCAGCAGAGCCACGAGCAGAACGGCCAGCTGACCGGCAGGCTGCACCGCGCCGAGAGGGAGGCCAGCGCTCTGACCGCTCAGGTACGCTGCTCCACATCCGGTCTGAGTCTGACTCCTCAGAGAGTCGCTGCTGCTTTAACTCTTCACCTCTGACTGCTGGCAGGTCGACAGCCTGAAGCATTCGCACAAGCTGGAGCTGGCCAGCGTCAGGCTGGAGTGTGCTCGCTCCAAAGGAGACATGGAGAGGGAGAGGGACGCACTGCAGGGACAGATGGACGGTACAGAGACACTCCCAGACACAAACATACGCAGTCGTTTTTTTATGACTTGTGGGGACATTTTACAGTGGTCCCCACAACCCCAGAAAACAAGGATATAAAAACCTGATGTGCGCACACACACACACACACACACACACACACACACACACACACACACACACACACACACACACACACACACACCCAGGGCCCTGATTGATTGATTAACTGGTGGTTGATATGTGACGTGTTATATAATGTTATTACCCATCACTTTTTGTTTAAAATTATGGAAATTTTAATTATGACCAATATGACTTTAAAACTGATTTACAATTTAATTATAATTTTATTGTGTATATATTTTTTTTATTAAAATGCCATTGACCTCAGAGTTTTAAGGATGAAATTAGAAATTCTTACTTGAAAGGCCTGAGATTCTGAGATATTAAAAAGCTTATAAGTGAGTTATGTAAGTTCTGTTTGAAATAATAGTTTTATCTTCAGTAAGGTTTTTGTTGGTTCATCACTTTATTTTTAGTAGACTGGAGACTCACCAGATCCTGCCAGACTGTCACAGAAAAGTCTCACCTAGCTAAAGTCAATTCATTCATAAAAAGCTACTGTACACATCACAAACAAGCTGTGTTCATATTTTCCAAGACAGGAAGTATATAATGTGTGTATCTGGTGTGTGTGTCAGGTCTGCAGGCAGACGTTGAGGTGCTGAAGGCGGCGCTGGAGCGAAACAAGGAGGTTGTGTTGGAAAAAGAGAGAGAGATGGTGAGGAAGGTGCAGTCGGCCGAGAGGAGGAGTTCCACAAGATGGCCGCCTTACACGAGGAGAGGTGAGACTCACCTCATGAACCTGATCCAGAATGAGTGAATATGAACGAGTGAGTCGTGTTAAATCATCCTGCATGTTTGTTCCAGGCTGGAGCTGGAGAACCGCCTGGCAGTGTTGGAACAGCAGAGGGCGCTGCAGGACTCGTCGGATCAGACACTGAAGGAGGAGTGGGAGGAACGACTGCGCAGCGCTCAGCAGGGAGAGGAGTCGCTCCGCAGAGAGCTGCAGAACCTCAGGTGGGCCGGACCGGACCGGACCGGTACTGTACACCCCAACCGAAGCCCTTTCTAGTTCCGTGGGGCCCCTAGTTTATCAAACTACAGCGCAGAGATTCATATCCCTGCAGATGATCCATCACATTCTAGTTTAGAAGCATAACAGGCTGCAGTTAAAAGACCTAATTATTAAACATGCCAATACGTCAAGGCCAACTTATCCCCCCATATAAATGTAAGACTTTTTAATGATGCAAAACAACCTGAGTCAATCTTTACATCTTTATTTTGTAATAATATCATACAAAAGATGTAACAAATTTGAGATGTTTTAATGCTGCACAATCGGCCCCCAGCATTCGCCTTCAAGTTACAGCCTAGTTAAAGATCCTGTTCCTGTTTCTGTGGTTTGAGACTTCAGTGTTTCATGTTGGTCAGTAAAGTCTGGGGCTGATGATGATGATGTGAAGTTCCTCTCAGCACAATAACCATCTAATGTGAATCTATTCTTGAAAATCTTGTTTTGTGTTTCCTAGAAACAAACTGCAGCATCAGAGTTCACAGCTAGAGGAGCGAGAGAGACAGAAAGCAGAGATTAATGAGCTGCAGCAGGTGAGTCTTTTTGTTCTTTTCTTTGTTTTGAGTTGTGATGGATTTGATTTCTACCCTGAATATTGTTTGAGACAACAGCAGAACCAAGAGCTCAGTGTCCAGCTGGGGGCGCTGTCACGCTCTGAAGGCGAGCTGACAGACGCCAACCGGAGACTGAGGGAGACTCTGGACAGAGTGAGGGAGGAAGCGCGGGCGACCCGGGCCCAGGTGGAGCGGAGCCAGCATGAGGCAGAGAGGTGCGGCCGCTCGCTCTCTGCCGCTTCCCGTGCGTCTCCACGTCTTCACGTGTGTGTGGCTCCACCTGCAGGATGGTGGAGGAGCGGCGGGCCGAGTGGCTGGAGGAGAAACACCGGCTGCAGGATCGAGAAGCGGAGCTGCAGCAGAAATACTCTCAGGCTAAAGAGAAGCTGCAGAAAGCAGCAGTGGCTCAGAAGAAGGTTCGTTTTTAAATCTGAGCATGTTGAGAGACGCTAACGCTGGAACATGAACGCTGCAGCCTTTTGTCGTTTAGAGGAAACATCAGACGGAGAACAGAGAGAAGAAGCTGCACAACAAGATCCAGCTGCTGGAGGCTAAAATTGAACAGCTGGAGCTGGAAGCTGCTGCCGCCATAAAGAGGTGGACATCACTCCATCATGTCTGCATATAATAACATCACTTATTATTAATATTAATATTTCATTCTTCCAGACGGTCATTGTTCTCAGAGGAGCAGGCGCAGCTGAAGCGGAGGCTGAAGGAGCTGCAGCGACGACACGACGAGTTCCGCTGCCTCCTGCTGAGCAGCCAGGGCCCCGCCCTCATGACCTCCACGCTCCCGCTTGGGGTCGAAGGGCGACTGGCTGCTGACCTGGTGAGCTCCAGACCCTGAGGCAGCACTCAGGAGGAGGAAGGAAAGGAAGCGCAGCACAGTGCAGGCTGAGTGTCAGGAAATGAAGAAATATGACGCTGAAAAAAAGCAGCTGATGTTTCCTTTCTCTGGAACTGGAATGAGATTATTCCAAAGATGTTCCAAACAAGATACTAATAGGATTTTTAGAAAAACATTATAATGTTGATGACATCTTACCTTTTTTTTTTCTGTTCAACTCATTATTCACTAGTTCAGCTGAACCCAATGTTCTGGAAGCTGCATGAAAATTCCTATTTTTATGGTGAAATGAAAGCATCACCTCTGACTGACTGGGATTTAACATCATCCCTGTTTAATCTGGAAAAATCTAGTGCAGATATTTCTAAGTATCGTAGATCATGTAGACAGAAGAAATAGAAATGTACAAAATGTGTATTTAAATGTCTATACAGTCATGAAAAACTAACCAGTAGATTGTAGATCATTTTCCTGACGTAGGCAGAGAATCTAAAGTTGAGGAAACTCAAAGTATTCGACCCCCAGATCTATAGAACGAGTTGTGCTTCTCTGCTCCGTGTTGAATATTTCTATACATGCAGCTGCATAGGAGATGATGGGGCTGATTGTGTGTGTCCTGCAGGAGGGAGAGTTCTCTCTGCTGCAGAGGAGACTGGAGAGTCTGGAGAACGCCCAGCAGCAGCAGCTGGAGGAACTGGGATCACTGGTGCAAAAGGAGCACGACGAACCTCCCAAACCTGACCCCCTGACCATTGACCCCGTCACTTTGGACTCATAAACATTTTGTAATCAGACGGTGCTTTTCAAGTCAAGTGCATGGAAACGGTCTGCTCAGATGTATTTTTCTATTTTTCTTGATTTTCTTCTGCGCCTGGAACAAAACTGACTCAGGGTTCAACGTGTTTACATCTGGTTTGGACCAGGGGTCAGAAACTCACTGGTGCTTAACAAAACCTGCTCAACCTTTTCAAATTTAGCTTATTTTATGGCTAAAAAACAATTTTATATGATAGAAAAACTCAACTTTTACAATAAAAAAATGTTCCTTGTGGGAACAATTCATGTTTATGCAAAATGGAAAAATGCAATGTACTTTTACAATATATAAAAAAATAATTCTATTGTGCCATTAAGTGGTGTATAAAGTATCAGCAGTTTGCAGACCCCTGGTCTAAACCGCAGAGGAAATGATTTGTTTGCACTACATGGTGCAACTTGCACATAAAATGTAGATTGTAATTTTTACTTGAACAGTAACTCGGGGATCTTTGTGACTCATTTGTGGCTTCCTTTGTCTTAATGTGTGATATGAAGTGCAACTGTTTATCTGGTGGCTTCTGTTTTAGCTCCTGAAACCTTCCAGGGTTTAGTTTCCATCGTCTCTGAGGCATCAAAGCAGAAGATTCAGTTGGTCAGAAACTTTCCCTGAATGGAAGCAGCTGATCTCTGAAACAGTTTCAGCTCCATGTTTGCTGCAGGAGGCGACAAATGTTGCCAGTTCAGCATGTTATCTTAGATTTGGAAGCAGTGCCTTCCTTCCTGTCATAGGTCACTTGAGTTCAGAGGGGCTCTCAGTTCCAGGAGCAGCTCTTCAGTTCGTCAAACAGATCTTTGACATGCTGCAGTTGCTCCAACAGCTCAGCGGGGGCGCCGTTACTGGACAGCTTCTCTTTAATCTGTGGGGGGAAAAAAATCCAGATTGATGTAATGTGTGAACGCCATTTTCCTAAGATCCACCAACAATAAACTATAGATTTCTTGTGTTTGTGCAGCTTCTGTTATGCTGGTCCGTTTGAATCTTCTGTTGGAAACAATCTGCAAAGCTGATAGGAAAGAAGTCCAGCTCTGTAGAACAGAACCGGAAAGAACAGGCTGACATGAAGCAAAAGAAAGCTCAACTCATTTCCTGCACAGTGTTTCACATGACATTCAGTTTCACAACTCGAGTTGCTGCTGCAGCTTTCCACATCACTGACAGACGTGTGAAAACAGCAGGACCCCACAGAGCAAACTAATTACCACCATAATGTTCAGAATGTGCCTCCACGTTTCTGACGCGTGGCTTTACCACAAGAGTAAATCTAATCCAGCAGGGTTTCCCAGCCTGCATTAGGCTGTTTGTGCTGCTGAAAGTCTCCTGATTTGGGTTTGTTGTCTCCAGCAAAAATCAAATGGGAAGATATGTGGTCATTAAGAAGACAAAAAGCTCCATTAGGTTGTGATTCTGCCCTCAGCTTCCAGTCTATCTGTTGGCAGTGCATAATGGTTCTAATCTGCGGCACGACAAATGAAAATGGGGATTTTTAACTCGCAGTAAAAGCATCCATGCAGCTGGAGCAGTGGAGTTGAGGTGGATGTGAGGACTGACCTCTGTGAAGTATCGCTGTATGAATTTGAAGAGTTCTCTGAGGGCTGCAGCTTCGTTGAACTCGCCTTCATGTTTCTGAACAAACAAGAGAAAAGGGAAGTCAGTCATCATGGCTGCCGTGAAATCAATAACCTCTAAACATCAGCAAACTCATTTCTGTAGGTGATTAGTTCACTGCCTGAACCACTGGAGGAAATCTCATTTCCTCCTATTGTAGAGGAAATTTGCCACCGACTCTTCATACTGTACCTTTGAGTTAATAGACATTTATTTTATGAAACTACACTGATAGTTTCTGGTTGCACAGCAACTCACTCCTTGATGTTTATGGTTTACTGAAACCATAAACATCAAGGATTTTATTTCATCATTATTGTACGTATAGGGAGTCGACTATCAATCAGTTCTTTAATGTATCATCCATTGTTCTTTCACTTTAAAATTAAGCGCCATTTTGTGTCGATCTTTTAGGTATGGATGCATGCATTAAAATGAGCATGCTCACCCACAGATTCATATCTCATTAGCTTTTGCTAATTTTTTAAAATATGTTTAGCAGTTTAGCATTAACAAAGCCAAGGTTCTTGTTAGGTAAATTAATGCTTAGTAAACCTGACTGGCTAGCTGTGCGGCCCTCGCCCAATAACTACTGCCAAACAAATATTCCCTTTTATGACTACGGCGGCCATTTTGAAACATATTTAGCAGAAAAAAGAAGCACGAGATCAAGAAAACGTGATTATGTTACGTGATTTATATGGTTAAAAAACATAGAGGCTATGATTTTATACCAAACATTCATTTAACTTTTGATTAAATGAAAGTTAAATGAATGTTTGGATTTTGCACTACCCAGTGCAACAATTTATGACAACCATAGTGGCCATTTTGAAAACTCAAAAAAAGAAAAAAGAAAACAGTAAATATTTGCGTGGTATTCTATCCAATCTGCAAATTTAGTAGAAAAATACATTTTCTTATATGACCATTTACCATCTTTATTTTTTTCGGTGTCTAGTTTTTTCCCCCATCTAAATAAAAAAGAGAGACATTGGGAACATCTCTGGCAAGTTAGGTTCTTGTATCCGGATGTGAAAGGTTAACGATAAAAATACATTTCTCATTGGATTTGTGCAAGACTGGACTTTACCTTGGACTCTCCCTTCAGGAAGTCTTTGAATTCAGCGTCGCTCACTGCTGGCTGCTCCCTGACCTGCTTATAGTAAGCCTTCACTTCCTGCTTGAACTTGGGAATGTCTTTGGCATAGAGCAGCTTGTTGGTTGGTGCATGCTGTAAAACATCAAGGTTCATTAGAAGCCATGTTTTGCAGTCGTACCTTGGAGTCCTGCCATCTGTCTCAACAAAAAAGAAAAAGAAAAAGCAGGAAACAGCACTTCCTGTGATTGTGCAATAGGAGACAAATGTCCAAAACATCTTCACCTTCCCCAGCTGGGTCTCGCTCAGAGAGAAGGAGTCCATGAAGGCCTGAGCGATGACCGACAGGCAGCCGTCCAGGTGAGGCGTCTTCTCCATGTCGAACACAAACTGCGGGTTTTTCAGGATGTTGATCCAGAAGCGCAGCGGCAAGCTGGTGAGGACAGAACGGCGTCTGTGTTGATTGGTTCCCTTAGAGCTCGTTACTGTCCAATCAGACGCTGGGAAGCTCATCCGTACCTGTTGGTCTTCCAGATGTGTCGGACGTCTGGGTCGGTGATCTTCATGTTCTCTGCCTGAGCGTCCAGGAAGTCAAAGAAGTACTTGATGGCGAGGGGAGCTCTGTTCTGGGTCATCCCCCAGATGGACCTGAAGAGGTTCTCCACGTATGAATGAACGGCCACCTTAAAGAGACAGGACGACACCGGATAATGCATGCTTCACACTGAAAGGATCCAAACTGTTGTTTTCGCTGGTATCGGTTCTGCTCTCTGTTTTGCGTGGGGAAAGTTTCCTCTTGCCTTGGTGGAGAGCAGCTTGGTCAGGTAAACTTCCTTCAGCTTCAGCTTCTTCCTCTCTGGGTTGTTCCCGTGGTCCTCCACCACATCGGGGTCAATCTGCACCAACACACCAAACCATCACATCAGAACCACCCAATAACTGCACAGGTCCATTTGATAGAACAAGCAAACCGTCTCCTACCAAATGGAAGTATTTTCCAGTGAAGTTTTCATCATCTAGGTGAGAAAAGCAGATTATTATTTATTATAATGTATTATTTATACATTATTTTTCCTTGGAGCAAAACATCAGAAATCAGAGCGTTTTGCACTGATTATACTGATCGGAAATAATATTTCATCCAACAGATGATGAGGCTGAAGTTGATAGTTGTTGATGGCAACGTCAACAATATGTTCATTAAAATAAATGACAGACTCAAAGACATCTGCTGTGATCCACTGAGGTTTATCAGCTCTAGGCTCAGCAGACTTTATGACTCTAAAGAATCACAGTCATTAAATTCACTTTTCAATGAAATTTTTTATATTTCTCAGTTGAACAGACAGTAGAGTTAGCCTGATTTTAAACCTGATGCGTTGTGGGTAATAGGAAGCTGTGCGGCTTATCAGAGTCCAGTTTATCGTAGCTACTGGTTGTTGTGAGGAGGAGGCATTCTCCTCATCAGAGATGATGATGTTGATATTGACACCTCTACTGGTGTTCAAAGATATATAAAACATGCAAATTATGAAATGCATCCTGTGGTTGAAAGTGAAGCCATGACAGAAACTTAGTTCTTACCTTTCACACTCCCCTGTGGGCTGACTGGAGGATGAGTTTTTCTTGACAGCACTTTAATAGTGGCCCCATCATTAACCTATAGCAGAGCAAACTCAACATGTCAAATATGGAAATGCACAACCACAACAGAATTAACCAATCAGCTGGCCGGTGATAAGGAACAGAAAAAGCCTCTGAAGCAGCTGCAGATTGAAATCTGGTTGGTGTTTCCATTTTCACTGATGTGTCAAACTGAAAACTCTCTTTGTCACTCCGTAATCACACAAACATGGCAGCATGTTCTGCTACTCCGAGTTTCCAGTTTAGTAAAAGTCAGTTGTTGTCACACTTGGTACTCATTTTGCTACATGCGGTGGCGTGCCGAGAAACATCTCATATGGGTCCAAACGAGAGGACAGGAAGTAGATTTTGGCGAACATCATGACTTGGAAGAATGTCAAAAAACATGTTTTTGTACAACACAGTTAGTTGGTTGGAGCTAATATAAACTTTTCACATGCTGGGTTGAGTGAATCTTCATCAGTGCAGACTGAGGGTCTGTGTAGCATTACATGAGATTGGAGTATAACTGGAGGGTGTCTGGAACATTTGAGTAGGGTTCATTGACTTTGTGGTTGCAGCACATACTTGGAGTGTGTAGAGTCATAGAGTTTATAGAACAGATATAATATATTTTT